TCTGGAACTCACCTGGAATTTATCCTTCAAAACCATAAAGACAATCTTGAATGGCTTGCCTTTTTGAAAAGGCATTTCATAAGTGATCTCTTCTGAACCCCATTTTTCCCTCTGCAATGTATTACAGACAATACAGCCAGATCTCTTGAAACGGGGATTAAAGTGAAAGGCCACATCAGCACGAGGTTTTATACTACTGCCACACTGGAGGTCCACCTGGAACCTGGTTATAAGACAAAACACAATTAATTCAGTTCTTCCAGAACGTGACCTCAGAGTTTCAAACATCTAAGTAAGTTCTGACTTTAGTTTAAAGAGAGAGTTTTGCATTAAACCCTGATACACAGGGTGAGGGTATAACAAGAAACAAGTAAAAAGATTCAAATGTTTATGTACACAGAGAGTACCATATTTACTCAAATACAAGACGAGGTTTTTTTCTCCTAAGTAGCATGGGGAATCAAGCCCCTCATCTCATATTTGCATACAAGGATACCTTATTAAATACATGACTTATCATTAAAGTGTTGCCAACAGCGTCATGTCCTTAGTAACAGAAACCAACTATGAAGCTGATTAAATGCAGTCAAGACAGCATGACTATGAACACACGGCCCATATTGGGTGAACATGCTGATGGGAACCTTTTTAAGGGCCAAAAAAAACAAAAAAACCAGAAGAAGGGCAAGCGTCCCCTCCACAGGGAGCTGGCACCAGAGCTGAAGGTACTGCAATATGAGGCTGGCACCAGGAGGACCAGAGCCACTCCTGACACCCTCCCTTTGGTGCCAGAAACGCTACATTTGATATGCTGATGGGAACCTCTACCACAAGGACAGTTTAGTCCAGTCCATCTGAATAAGATGTGTGGTAGCGCCCCTTGCGTGCAGTTTCCCTCAGCACTGACTTTTTCCAAGTCATGTGAGCCACTACACTACATATATTTCAACTTCCTCTTTACTCCTACAGCTGAGCTATGCCTTTCTATCCCATTTCCAACAATTCCTGTTTCTTCATGAGCCTTAAATGCCTACCAAACATCACCAAATGAGGCCCCACACAGTTCACCCAAAATCCCTGTCACCCCCTCTCTCAGCTTTGTACATATGATTAATGTGTTCCTGCCCTCCAAGAGGTGGAGCCAGACCAGACTGTCCCATATCTGCCAGGTCTGACCACTCACGTAGGTTCCTAGCCCAAATGCAGCACCTCCATCTAACCTAGGAGGTGCACAGCCCCACCAGGGCAGACGCCTTGTTGGACCTGGTGCTGGCCATGGGTGACGACCTGGTGAGGGGGCTGCGGGTGCTCGACCACCTGGGCAACAGCGATCATCGCCTGCTGGAATTCACCATCCAGCGCAAGGTGGCAAAGGCATGCAGCAAGGCAGCAGCCCTAGATTTCAGAAGGGCGGACTTCAACGAGCTAAGGAGAATAGTCAGGGAAGCACTGAGGTCCCAGAGGGGAGGGGAGCCCCGTCTCCAAGAAAAGTGGTCACTCCTTAAGGAGACGATCCTCCAAGCCCAAAGGGAAGTAATCCCAACATGGATCAAAGGGGGCAGGAGGGCAGAAAAGCCCCCCGAGCTCACCAAAAGCATCCAGGAATGTCTCCTGGCTAAAAGGGAGGCGTACACCCAATGGAAGGGAGGGGCCATCACCAGGGA